CTGATCTTAGGGAAAGAGCTTCCACTCTTTCAGCGCTGAGTATGACGTCAGCGCTGGGTTCTTCACAGTGCGACCCTTGTTAGGTCGAACTGTCTTCTTTCCCTGCTCCCTGCGTCCTCACAGCCCAGCCTCCTCAGTCACTTTCCCCGTTAGTAAAGGGGAAAGCCCATGACACACTGCCCACAGCTCCCACTCTCTCCTTCCTTCTTCTCTCCTTCCACAGCGCCCTCCCCTTCCCTTCACTCCTGGCCCAGGACACAATCCTCCGCTTCTCCGAAGCAGTCTTGCAAGGTCTCTTTTGTGCCCCTTGCCCCCTGTACCGACACCTCTCTATGCCCATTCCAGCAGCATCTGTGTCACTGCGATCTCCACCACTCGGTCTTCTCCGGCCTTCCGTGGCAGCAGGCTCCCAGGCTTTCAGCTGACTGCCCTGTGGCCCTCTGGGCTCCCACTCTGTGCTCCCACACGCAGGCTCACCCCTCCGCCATCTTGCTTGCACCTTCTTAGGCTCGCAGGTCTCTGATCCAGCAGAGAGCTGGTGAAAGTCCACATGCTTCAGCTCCACTCGGGAGATGTGAGTGCTGTGGACGTGGGCTGGGGCCGCATTCCAGTTGGTGATCCCTCACAGGCCCCTTTGTGTGATGCCAACAGAACCAGTCTATGGGGAACAGGGCCTTTGGCCACTTCTTGGGGGAGGGGGAGCTTTTCATGGCCCCTATTCTGCCAGCTGTTGCACTGTGCCCTGCCTTCTCGCCACCTTTTCCTTTAAGCTCCAAATTTTGTAGGTTCCTCGGCTCTGCCCAACACCACCTCTGTTGGGGCAACTCTCATGCTTCATATGTCCTAAGCCACATTCCCTTCATCCTTACATCAGGCCTGCTTCTCCAGCACTAATGACCACCACTTTTTTCACCCCCCAAAATGTGGGTAACCATTTCCTTGCACCCACAGCCCATTAGTGCATCTCCATTCCTGGCTATCCAGTCTCTTTGTCTGCCATCTTGGGCCTGGGCAAGGCTATAGCTCCCTCACTTTTCTGCCCGCACTTGCTGCCACCCCCCCACCACCACCACTGCATTAGGCAGAGTTCCAACAGACTTCTGGTCACCTGGCACCCTCTGGCTTAAAACCTTCTGTTCCTTTAAAACATGTAAACCAGGGTTCTGGTCTGAGTTGTAGTGCTGCCCTGTCCAGGATGGGTATGGCCTCCTTTCCTGCAGAGTACTTGCCACCTCTCCTCACCACTGTCTGGACTCCAGTTCTCATGCCATGTTTCTGGAGAGGTTTCTCCTGATCCCCAGACCAAGCCATGCCCCGTGACCCTTTCTGTGAACAGCCCAGCAGCACCCTGTGTGCCTCCCGCAGGAGAAGATGCTAGACATCTACTGGCTGCTGCGTGTCTGCCTGCGAACCATCGAGCACGGAGACCGTACTGGGTCCCTCTTCGCCTTCATGCCCGAGTTCTACCTGAGCGTGGCCATCAATAGCTACAGTGCTCTCAAGAATTACTTTGGTCCTGTGCACAGCATGGAGGAGCTCCCAGGTGAGGAGGTCTTTCAGGCTGGGACCTCTGGGGCTTGCCCTCGCAGCACACATGCAGCTCCAAGCGAGCATTTGTGGGAACCCACGTGACAGAGGCCCTGCCTGCCACTGGCAGCCACAGAACCAACAGCATCTATCTCCCTGGTGCCCAGAGGGAAACACACAAAACGGTGCAAAATGGCTTCTCCTTCTCCCTCAGTGCCACTGTGGTCCAGGAGCCCCTAGCTCTGACCCTGTCACACCATGGCACTGGCCACGGAGCGTGGCAGCCTCTGCAGGGGCAGAGTGGTTTGTCTGTGGAGGTTACAGCAAGGGTGGGGTCCTGCCAGGGGCTACATAGCCTGGGCCTCTCGCAGACCCCTGATTCTAGGTTGGCTTGGCAGTTTGTCTGGGTCAAGTTTTAGGCCCCTTGCCCACCCCTGCCCTGCCCCAGGCTAGTTACAGACTATTGTCCTCAGAGATGACATCATACCTGTGGGTGCGTCAGTGTGTATGTCAGGATGGTTTTGAGTCTAGTCAGGACTCTTCCAGGACTTGCCTTCACCTCAGAGAGTCTGTACCTTAGCCTCTCATCAGCTCTCAGGGAATGCCCCACCCAGTCCCCAGATGCTGACTTGGGCCCAAACTGGCCCTTGGAGCCAGCACTGGGCCCCACTGCTCATGCCCACCTATCCAGAGGGATACACTTGCCTTTGGAGTCCAGCACAGGCAGCAGCTGCTGTTACCTCACTCTGCAGGCTATGAGGAGACCCTGACTCGCCTGGCCGCCATCCTTGCCAAACACTTCGCTGACACGCGGATCGTGGGCACTGGTGAGGTGCCCCTCAGAGACTTGGGGGATGGAGATGGGTGGCATCTGTGCAGGGTGCTGACCAGGTGGCCCTGAGGCCTGGGGGCCAAAGCACATGTCTGGCACCTGCTGAAACAGTCTGGTTTGTCCCGGCAGACATCCGTGACTCACTGATGCAGGCCCTGGCCAGCTACGTGTGCTACCCACACTCCCTGCGGGCTGTGGAGCGGATCCCTGAGGAGCAGTGAGTGGGTTCTGGTGGGAGGTGTGCACCCTGAGCTGCCTGACAGTCCCATGCCCAGCCGTGCCCCTGCCCACTGCCCCTTGCCCTCGCAGGCGCATCGCCATGGTAAGGAGCCTCCTGGCTCCCTATGAGCAACGGCCCTGGGCCCAGACCAACTGGATCCTCGTGCGACTCTGGAGGGTAAGCCTGGCTGGAGAGGAGGCGACTGGAGGGAAGGACTGCCTGCCCGCTAACCTCCCACTGACCCCACCCCCAGGGCTGTGGGTTCGGGTACCGCTATACACGGCTGCCACACTTGCTGAAAACCAAACCTGAGGACGCCAACTTGCCCAGCCTCCAAAGTAAGTATGAGGTGGCACGGCTGGTGGCCCTTGCCCACTGCTTTGTGGTTCTCGCAGAGAAAAGCCCTTCCAGCCCTTCTCCTGGGCTCATGGTGGGCCCCAGATTCCCAGTCTGTCCCTTGGAGTGTCTAGTTCTCTGCTTCCTCGCTCCTGCCCCTAGGATGCTCTGGGACTACTCTTTGCTTCTTAGTCCTGTGTGTGCATGTGGGGCCTGAACACAGTGTAGGAGTCACCGTGGCAGTCACAGCAGCTTATTTCCTGCTGGCAGCCGATGCAGGTCGAGGACCTTTGTCCTCTGAGCCAACTCCCTGGCCTCTAACACATTCATCTGCTGGTGCCACACCTTGGATACCTGAGTCAGAAGGGTACACATAGCCCCAGAGGTATTGATAGCACTTCCTGGAGGAAAGGAAAGCAAAGGCAGCACTCTCCCCTGGGCCGTGGTCCAGCCAAGCCCTGGGGACCTAAAGCCCTTCACCTAAACTCACCCCAGGATGGGAGACTCCCTGACACATGCTGCATCGCCCCTCCGGTGGCCCCAGTGTATGCTTCTGCCCACAAGGGCAGTGTTAGGCTGGAAGGTGTCCCCCGAGGTCTAGTGCCTTGTGCAGTCACGTAGCAAGTCCTTGCCAGTTGCCTGGGTCCTGTCTCCAGGGTGAAACTGAGCTGCAAGTGGAGAGCCGCGGCCAGCCCAGATATGGTCCTGCTGCTGCAGAACTATTGATTTGCTGGGGGGCGGGAGTGATGCCCATCCCTGCTGAGGGCTCTGGTTACTGCTGCCTGTCGGCCCAGACTTGGCGCCCACCACCCCGGCCGTATGCCAAGGCCAGACCAAGGGCGCTGGAGGACAGCAGGCTCAGACTAGGTTCTGGGGAAACCGGCCTTGACACAAAGAGGCGGGGTCTAGGTCTAGCCTTGCCTGAAGGGCATGTGGCGGCACCTTGCTCCAGGGGCCAGGCAGTTGTGGGGGGCTGCTCTCGGTGGGGGGGGGGTGTGTGGGGCTGGAAACAACTGTAAGCTGTGGCTCACCCAGTGGAGGGAGGGGCCAGAAGGAAGGATTTAGGTGGAACCCCCAGCAGCACTGCATGCTGTCCTCTGCCTTCGTGACCTGAGCATTCCCAGGGCGCCATCTTTGTATCCTTATAGCAGTGGGCGCGGTGCAGGCAGACAGGCCGGGGCCATGCCCTGGAGTCCCCCACGATGCCACCTTCCTCGCCCCGCAGAGCCTTGCCCATCCACCCTGCTGCAGCAGCACATGGCGGACCTGCTACGGCAGGGTCCTGACGTGGCCCCCAGCTTCCTCAACAGCGTCCTCAACCAGCTCAACTGGGCCTTCTCCGAGTTTATCGGCATGATCCAGGAGGTGGGTCATGGGGAACCCTGTAGGCCAGGGGTTGCAGGTGGCAAGGTGTGGTCCTTGGCGTGACCAGGCCACTGACCACTGCCCGTCCCCCGTTGGTCGCCCAGATCCAGCAGGCAGCAGAACGCCTGGAGCGGAACTTTGTGGACAGTCGGCAGCTTAAGGTATGTGCCACTTGCTTTGACCTCTCGGTCAGCCTGCTGCGTGTCTTGGAGATGACCATCACACTGGTGCCAGAGATATTCCTCGACTGGACACAGCCTACTTCTGAGATGCTGCTGCGACGTCTTGCACAGGTGTGTCCATTGGGGCAAGGAGGGTGGCACCCTGGGGACATCCCAGTGGTGAGTCCACCCGTCTGCCAATGGACTCCTGCCCTCACAGCTGCTGAACCAGGTGCTGAACCGAGTGACGGCTGAGAGGAACCTGTTTGACCGCGTGGTCACCCTGCGGCTGCCCGGTGAGGACCTAGATGCCCTGCACCCAGCACACTCAGGCTCAGCACCCACAGCCTTCTGTGGGGTGGACAGTGGGAAGGCTGAGGGCTCCACTGCCGGGGCCCCTACAGTGGGAGTGTGGGGCGCTCATCTCCTTCCTGTCCTTCCCCTTAGGCCTGGAGAGTGTGGACCACTACCCCATTCTGGTGGCAGTGACAGGCATCCTGGTGCAGCTCCTTGTGCACGGCCCAGCTTCAGGGTGAGTATCCGGGGTTGTGGGCACAGTGACAGGAGGGACCTTGGCAGGGCCTCCCGGTAGCTCGGGGTCCGAGTGGACCTCAGTATTGGGTTTGACACGAGAGGCAGTCAAGTGTGAACTGTTCCAACAGGCAGTGGCCACTCTTGAGTAGGAGAGTCAGGACATCAGCATACCAGGGTGCCTGGCTGCTGGGTGTGGGGTCAGGTCCACTGACTTGTGGCTGTACAAGCCAGGAAAGGGAAACCCAGACTTGGCGTGGGGGAGGGGGTCACCATCCTGTGATGGCCAGGGCAGCACTGCTGCCGACAAGAGCTGAACACACACACTCCTTCACCTGCATTCGCGAAGGCTCTGCCATGCACATGTGTGACCTTTATTAAGAAACTCCATGACAACTGGGTCCAGGACACTGGAGCGGGCCTCCATCTCAACCCCAACACGGGACAGGCTCCCAGACCCCCCTTCCCTGCCTCCCGACAGTGGAAGTGATGAGATGCGTCTGAAGCCGGGGCACTGCCGCAGCCATTAGACTGACTCCGGCAGCCAGTCCTTGAGAGGCTCTCTCCGCCGGAGGCAGGGAATTCTGGCTCAGCCCCTCCATCTTGGCCAGGCTCCGCAGGCTTTTCACTGCTGTAAAGCTTGGGGGGCAGGTGATGGGGTTGCTCCTTACAGTTTCTCTCGTGAGTCCATGTGCCCTCAGGAAAACCTGGCCAAGAGAATAGGGCCAGACTGTGGCTCCAGGCAGGCCTACCCCTGCCCCACTCCTGCTAGGGTCTCCTGAGGAGCTATCCCACTGTCCGCCTCCTCAAGTCTGCCCGTCAGACACTCCTGGAGTTCTGAAGCTTGAATTAGGTTGGATGTTGGTGGACAGAAGGTCGTCAACAGAGGGAAGGCTTGTTTCCTCTTACCGCAGTGGGGGAGGGACTAGGTCTTCTTTTGGAACCCTCTTCTTACCCACTCCCAGCCCTAGGGAGGGGCAGGAGGTTATCTTTAGTTCTTCACCAGCACGCTGCCTGGACCTGAGGGTGGAGCCGGGACGCTAATGCAAAGGACCTCACAGGTGGGCCTTGGTTTTCAGCCCTCAAGGGCCATAGGCTGAAGGTAGGTCAGGGAAGAGGGATCTGGTCAGATCCCAGGTTGGGGCACTCCAGAGGCTGTTGGTTCTAGGACCACACGTGGGTGCCAGGAGGTTGAACAGAAAGTGGGCCGAGTGCCTTGGGATCCCACGCTGGCTTGGAGGAGAGGCTGGGTACCCGGCCCCTCTACCAGTGAGTAGGGCCACTGTGGTTTAGGTCAAGGCCCACACAGGAGGCTGCAGACCAAGCACAGTGCTTGCCACCAGCATCTGGCAGCTTTCTCTGGGTGGCAGCGAGGAGCAGGGCAAGCAGCAGGCAGGCAGGTGGGGGCCCTGGGCAGCCTAGGTCAGCACCAGGCCTTCAGAACCTGTGGAACTAGGAGACTCAGAGCCAGCCTTGAATCTTAGGCCCATGGGATTGTAGAGATCAAAATCCTCAGCTACAGCCAACTGCACGCGACCATTGAGGCCCCTCCGGCCCGGCTCCAGAAAGACCACGTGCTTGTGAACACTGGCCTTGCGACTGAGCGTGTCGGGTGGCGTGCTGAGCACTGAGGACGGTGCGCTCAGCTCCTGCAGTGGGCTGGGCACTCGGGGCCAGCAGCGGCAGAGGCTGGTACGGTGGTAGCAGCGGCGGCAGCCCGGGCAAGGTGGTGCAAACAGGTAGAGCAGCACCAGCACCAGGCCCACGACGCAGCCCAGCAGCGTGGTGAAGCCTGTGTTGAAAGCCTCGGGCTCAGGATGCGGGAAGTGCACGCTCACGTTGTACTCGTGTGTCTGGTTGTGGTGCAGGCGGGGCCCGGTGGCCAGACACACAAAGACCCCCTCGTGCCATGGCTGCACGTTGCTGATGGCCAAGCTGCCGTCAGCCAGCACAGCAATGCTGCCGTTGCGGGATCCTGGTGCCAGCAGCAGCTCCTGCTGCGGAGATACCCAGGCAACACGCACAGCAGGGGCACTGGCATTGCAGTGCAGCCTCAGAGACCGACCCACCTGCACATGCAGCTGCTCCTCAGGCTGCTCTAGGACATGAGCTGAGGAAGCTGAGCAGTTCTCGAAGATTCGGCTGTGCTCAAAGAAGCGCACGCGGGATGCTGGTACCTTGAAGGCCAGGCACGTGTATTCGCGGGCAAAGCTGCTCACAGCATTTAGTCCCCGCTGCTGCCAGCGCTGCAGCAGGTGGTAGAGGTGGCAGTCGCAGGTCAGTGGGTTGTTGTGTAAGTAGAGGCCATTCTTGACAAAGGCCGGCAGTGCGGCCAGCTCAGGTACAGGGAGGTGTCTCAGCCGGTTGGAGGAGAGATCCAGGGTACGTAAGTGAGTCGTGCCTAGGCCATGCAGGTGGTTGAACGAGAAGGATGCCAGTTCGTTGCAGCCTAGGTAGAGGCGGCCGAGCACAGCCAGGCCGTGGAAGGCATGCTCATCCAGCTGCGCCAGGCGGTTATTGAACAGCAGTAGTACCTCCAGGGCCCCCAACCCATCCAGGTCATGGCGCCGAAGCACCCGCAGTGCATTGGATGATAGATCTAGCAGCCTGAGGTTGCTGCCATTGGCAAAGGCTCCACGACCCAGCATATCCAGCTCATTGTGGCCCAGGTTCAGGGCGCGCAGACGGTAGAGTGGAGCCAACCAACTAGGGTGCAGGTGCTGGATCGCGTTGTGGCTCAGGTCGAGGTCTGCAGCAGTGGGTGGTAATGCAGCCGGCACATCCTGCAACCCACGGCCTGCGCAGCTCAGAAGATCAGCAGAGCAGATGCATTTGAGAGGGCAGTTGTGGAGTGGGGGGTGCAGGAAGTCCTCAGAGTCCAGGGTGCCCAATCCGGCACGCAGAATGCACAGTAGTAGGCTGAACAGCACCAGCCAGGCCATGGCTGCCCCCAGCAGGGGTGGGTCAGGGGCGCTGTGTGTGGGGTGCGGCTCCAGGACTCACCCACTTTTGCTCTGGTTCCACAATCGTGGCACTGGGTGACTAGGAGGAGGGATGTGGGCTCCGGCTCCAGCCGGCACAGCTGACCGCTCCCCACTTGTGAGGCAGGGACCGCACTCCACTCGCGCCGGCAGCTCCGGCTTCCCCAGCGCTCTGAGCGCGCCCTGGAGCACTCCACGGCTAAATACATCCGGGGGCGGGGCCTGAGGCTCCCGTTGGAGGGCGGGGCCGCCGCATCCCAGCCTGCTACAGCCGGGAGGGAGGGAGTGTTGAGTCGGACCTGTGTCCCCACTTGCGGTCGACTGGAGCCTTTCTGAGCACATCTCCCCCGAGCAGCGAGGGGAGGCCTGGGAAGCGTGCCGTTAAGCTATTTTTTTTTGTGTTTTCTTTGAAGGGTAAATGTATTATGGTGCAGGTAGACTGTCTTTTGGTGGCTCCCGCAGGCCCCCCAAGAACCAGCACCAGGATGTGTGGGAGCAACGATCTGGTGGGGGTGGGGCTGGGCATCAGGGAGGTGGGGAGGATGAAGGGCAGTATCACACTGGGCTGAATTGTCACACCACCTCCCACCCCTTCAGTAGATTCCTCCCTCACAGGCCCCACCCTTGAGCCTTCTTGCACCCTCTCCCACCTAGGACAGAGCGCGCCACATCAGTGCTCCTGGCTGACCCCTGCTTCCAGCTCCGCTCTATATGCTATCTCCTGGGGCAGCCAGAGCCCCCTGCCCCTGGCACTGCCCTGCCCGCCCCTGACCGGAAGCGCTTCTCCCTGCAGAGTTGTGAGTGAGCTGAGGGTGGGTCAGGGAAGAGGGATTTGTGCAGGATTCTCAAGAGCAAATTCCTAGGTGGGGGTAACCCAAGAGGCCAAGAGTTCTGGAGTCACAGTTGGCCTGATCCCTTCTATCCCGGCTCCCCCCCCCCCCAGACACAGATTACATCAGTGTTGAAGAGCTGGCCCAGGTGGAACAGATGCTGGTACACCTGACCTCTGCATCTGCCCAGGCAGCGGCTGCCTCCCTGGTAAGTGGTGCCACAGCAAACAGGTCCACACCACCAAATACACAGGGGCATAGGTGTGTGCCATGTAGTGTGTGTGCCACGTAGTGTGTATACCACTTGTCTGGCCCTCCAATTCCCACTGTATTTCCTGCAGCCCACCAGTGAGGAGGACCTGTGCCCCATCTGCTATGCTCACCCTATTTCTGCCGTGTTCCAGCCCTGTGGCCATAAGTCCTGCAAGTAAGTGTACATCAAGGGTGTGGGGGACTGGCTAGCAGGAACAGCAAGGGTACACGGGCCATCTCTCTGCTACCCCTCCCCCCTTTTGTAGAGCCTGCATCAACCAGCATTTGATGAACAACAAGGATTGCTTCTTCTGCAAAGCTACCATAGTGTCTGTAGAGGACTGGGAGAAGGCAACCAGCGCAAATGCTACTTCCTTGGCCACATAGGTCTGCCTAGCTGACAACAGGAACTTCCACCCTGAACCCAGACCCAGTCTGGGCCCTATTTATGAGCCCCCTCTCCCTCCAGCCCCCCACCCTACCACGTGCAACCTCCTTGCCTGTGTAACCTCATTGGCAGGAGCCCAGCCATGCCCTAATTGTGCCTGAGCTTGACTTTTAGTCTGGGCCACAGTGAGCATTAAATTATTATTCCATACAGCCCCGGCCCGGCCCTTTTTGAAGGAGTAGGCTTTGTGGGGTATGTCAGGTGCTGCCAGATTATGCAAGGGTGTTGCCAGATTTTGTCCACAGGGGAGGGCAGGTGTCCAACAGCTTCAACCTCTCCTGATGAATGGCAATGAGTCCAGAGTGTTCTGATGGGTCACGCCAGTACTCCCCTTGCCAGTGGGGAAAAGGGCTCAGACTGCCCCAAGGCCTCTCTTCACATGATGATGCGAGGTTCTGGCACCGACTCGCCAATAGACTTGTGGGGCAGTACACTGGCCCCGTTGAGGTAGAGCTCGTCGTTAACTATGACGTCCTCACCCAGCACCGTCACGTTCTCCATGCGCACCTCGGGGGGGAGGGGCAGGCCTTGTCAGTGAGGCAGGCGCATTCCCTGCCCCTCTCCCCATCTGGCCCAGCCCACAGGCTTACCCACTGGCCCACACGGCAACGCCAGCCCACAATACAGGACTCGAGCCAGGAGTGGGAGCGGATGTGGGCATCTCGAAGCACTGTGCACCGCCGGATACACACGCCATCCTCCACCACCACACCAGGGCCTAGGCTCACGTTGGGGCCAATGCTGCAGTTCTGGCCAATGCGGGCGCTCGGGTCCTGAGAAGAGTGGGGAAATTACAAGTGGACCGTTTATCTGTTCCCTAAGACTGAAGGCATTAATTGTGGATTAGTCTAGAACCTTACCACCAGCACGTTGCCCACAATGCCAGGACCAGAGCATAGTTGCTCAGGTTGCTTCTGTCGTAGTGACTGGAGGAAGAGGCACATGCCAGTGAGGAAGTCTTTGGGCTGCCCAATGTCCATCCAGAAGCCTGTAGGGAGGGAATGCATCTGGGGCTTCAGCCCAGCCACAGACCACCCCCACCCTGCGGCCTTCCTGCCTCACCCTGCAGCTCCATGGCATATAGCTGACCCTCCTTGGCCATGACAGGGAAGATCTCCTTCTCAATGGATGTAGGTTGCAGCTGTGGGAGTGGTCAGCTGGTGAGCAAGGTCACGGGGGTGGCAGTCTGCCCTACCCAGCCCACCCGGCGGCAGGTTTCCACACACCTGGATGCGCCGCAGCACTGCAGGGCTCAGGATGTACATGCCTGCGTTGATCTTGTTGGACACAAACACCTGTGGCTTCTCCACGAACCGGTGAATGCGGCCTGTGTCAGCCTCACATACCACCACACCATATTTAGAGGGTTCCTCCACTTTGGTCACCTGAGTGCAGGAGAACCTAAGGCCTAGTCCAGTGTTGCTGAGTCTTGATGTATATTCTGTGCCAAGTCTCAGGGACTGACTGTGCCCCAAATGCTTAAAGAAGACATGCTGCACAGCTCTGCACCCGCTGTATGAGGGTGTGGTTCAAGACCAGGGGATGGAGGTGCGGGGTGTGTCGGAGAAGGAAGCATTGGTCCCTTACCAGGATGGAGCCTTCCTGACCATGGTGCCGGTGGAACTGCACCATGGCTTGGAAGGGGAAATCACAGATCACATCACTGTTGAGGACGAAGAAAGGGTCTGCAGTCTCAGAGAGCAGGTCACGGGCCAGTGCCAGGGGCCCGGCTAGGGGAGGGGAAAAGGTCACCATCTTTCTGGGCTCTGAATCCCTGCACCCAAACTCAACAGGCCCCACCGGGTTGGATCTTGCCCTTTTCCTGACCCTGAGCCCTCCCCAAGAGACCCTCCTGCCCCTACTGACCTGTGCCCAGAGGCTCCTCTTCGTGGGACATGGAGATGCGGATTCCTAGCTGAAAGGGCAAAGACACTCATCAGGTTCCTCACACCTGGGTGGGAGGCTGGGCGGGGCGAGGACAAGGACCAAGTACCAAATACGAGCCTCACCCTCTGCTCCTGCGCCTTCATTTCCTTCTCCAGCACCTGAGACATGTAGCTCACCGCCAAGATCACATGGTCTACACCTGCCTGCCAGGCAGAAGTGTGCGGGACGACAGGCAGGTTGAACTGGAAGGCACTAGCGTCCCGGAGCCCCCAGGCACTAGCCGCCCCTTGTCCAGCCTGGTCCTACCACGGTCCCGACCCAGACCCCGGGCCTTACCGCGGCCAGCGCCTCCACTTGGTGCAGTAAGATGGGCTTATTGCAGAAGTCCACTAGTGGCTTCGGGATGCTCAGCGTCAGCGGCCGCAGCCGCGTCCCGTATCCACCCACCAAGATCAGTGCCTTCATCGCACCTGCGGGCGGCGGGGGCGCGAGTTCCGGCCTCCGGGGTGTCCGCGGCCCGCCTGGCCGGCCCCTGCCACACACTCACGCCGGCGAGCCCGTCCCCAACCCCTTCACCTGCCAGACTGACCAACTCTGGCTCTACCTTGTCCGTCGAATCCGCCCTGAAGCCGAACCCCGGGCCGCCACAACCCGGACGCGACGCGGGATAGAGGGCAGCTGGCCCGGAACTCAGGCCTAACCGGGCGAAGAGTGACGGATTCCGTGTGGGCCAATCCACAGCCGAGTACGTGGCACGGCCGTCGACGTCGGAACGCCGGGGTGCGGCGCCCCGGCAGACGTAGCCAATGAGAGCCCGAGCGCTCCTGGCTGTCATGGTGACCGGGCCCGGCACCGCGGGTCAGCTGGTCATTGGCGGATCCAAAGGCGGAACTGGCGCCAAGGGCGGAACCTCTTCCCCGCACTCGTTCCCCGGTAGGCGGTCACACGGCTGCTTCCGCCTCGCCTCTTACGCTGCAACTGGCGCTGGAGTAGCGAGAGAAGGGTAGACTGATCGCGGAGGGTCAGGCGGGCTAGACCTGTCTCCCGGGAACCTCGGGGTTTTCATAAAGACGCTGATACGCCTCAATTTCTAGCGGCTTTATTTTGACATACACGACCTCAGACACAAGCGGGGCGGGCAGCGCTAGGTGTGCAGAAAAAGGCGGACTCTGGACGAGCACCCCGCCCTTCCCCGCACGCAAGGTCCAATCTGGAGAAGATGAGCCTGCGCCAAGACGTGGATGGAGCCACGTGTAGTTTCCGGGGGCGCAGGCCTCCAGCGTTGTGGACAGGCTTAGGCAGCTTCCAGGAAAATGGAGTGGAGAGCGATTCCCAGAGGCAAGACCTTACAATTACCCCAAAAGCAAAGGAACAGGTCGTTCCCAGGGCTCTCCAATTTTTTTTCCTCATTAAAACTTTTTAAATCGGCACAAACAAAACCAAATTGATCAGCTTTAAAATTCAAAGTTATCTGCATCTAAGGAACGTGCACGTGGCCAAATGTGAGCAGCTGAACCGCGGCTACTGAACCGGCCCAGGCCATGGCCCCTTAAGGGGAATCCCCAGGCCTACAGCAGAGGCCCCAATGTGAGGGAGGGGTGGGGGGGTCCCTGGCAAGTATCTATGCTGGTCCCCTTCCTCTTTAAGCACCACCCATCTCACCCCCACCCCAGGGGCTGGTGTCCACTTGGCCCAGGGAAGCACTATACAGAGGGGTTGCGTGAATACCCCAATGAGTGATCCCGTGTTGCATTTTGGTCCCGTGTTGGGGCTAGGAAGGCAGGACCTGGCGGGCAGAGGGCTCTCTGGCAGAGCAGGAGGAAAGAGCAGTGGCAGTGTGCACACACACACAAATGCCTACTAGCCACCAGGTAACAGGGCTGAACCTTCAAATGTTACACTGCTGAAAAGAGGGGCCCTGCCCTGGGGAACCAGCAGCAAATCCCAGGTCCAGCTGCTCTTTTTAGTGCCATGAAAAACACTGAATGTAAGTGGGTTCAGTCTCTTGCTTGCTAGGAAGAGAAGCGGAATGGGGCACCATCTGCTCCAGAACTAGTAACTGAGGAGGCACAACGCATCCCCAGGCTAGAGAGGTCCAATCAAAGGGGTCTCTGTGGCCCTAGACCCTTCCTCTTGGCCTCTGCCCTGATAGGAAGTAACTGTCTACACTAATGAAGAGCTACTGCCCCTACAGCTGAAGCCACAGAAGGTACAGGAGAGAAGATGGTCACTACTGACCAAAAGGAAGAAAGCTGCCCCTCCCAGCCCCAAGGAATGGGAACCTGCCCACCAATGGAACCGGGGTCTGAAGACCAAAAGAGAGAGGATCCATCAAGGTGCCAATTTAATATGCATGAGGCTGCATCTCTAAGGACCAGGAAATCAGTCCACCAGTTACTAAGGCCCTCACAGACACAGGTTGGCAGGCTTGCCTTTAATGCCCAAACAGAACATGCCAAAAGAGACAATGACAGTGACCCTAAGCTTGGAGGTGAGGGCACTCACCTTGGCAATGGCTAAATGAGTGCCGTCTCACCTTGTACGCACATGTACTAGAGGTGGCAGGTCTCCGTGCCAATATGAGTAGACAACAAAAATTTCTAAAACCATGGGAAAGGAAAGGGTCGCCACTTGGGCCTTTACCATATACTGTGTGTTGAAGGGGGCCACAATGGTCCCACAGAGGGCCAGCAGGAAAATACCTCCTACAATTTATTTTGCTACCATTTATAAAAGGGTAGCACCTGCTGAGAAAGGGCACAGGACAAAAGCTCAGAAATGGAAAAAGAATATTTTGCTGAGGAAAGCATGAAGGAAACCAGTATTTACTCATGAGCAAGACCACGCCCCAGAAGGATCCCAAGAGAAAGGAACTGGCAGACAAGTGGGCAGACTGACGAGCCCCAAAACCGATCAACAAAACTCTCACTAGCAAAATCTAGGCACCTGCATCCAGGGCCCAGGCAATGTCCCTGTGAGCAGACAGACAAATGTCTCCCTCACAAGCCTGGGCTCTTCCATGGATTGATGCTGTGAGCCTGGCCTGGGGAAAGGTGAGACCCTGAGCGGACCACAGCCCTTAAGCCCTGGGAGGAGCAGCCAATCCAGAGGCAGCACAGCTGCCTGAGCTAGAGGAAGAGGAGGCCTGCCACCCGCAGCAAAAGAGCTGCAAATACTGTCTGGGCCAGAGCGCCAGAGGCCCTGAGGCCTGCTGGGAAATCTCTCCTCGATAAACAGAGCAGAGCCTCCTATTCAGGCAAGCGGGGTAGTGTCCTTAGACAAGGGAACTTGGTGAGAAGGCTGGCTGGGGTATGCAGGCAGGAGGAGGGGCAGGCTCAAGTGCCAAAGAGTTCCTGGGGGAACCCAGGGCCTACTCTCTGCCATAAGCTGGCTTCAGCCCGGCCTCATGAATCTAGCCTCAGGCCAGGTGAGAACCAAGGACGGATCCAACTGCAGACAGTTGGACATCTGTTAAAGAGCAGGCTAACACCCATAACACAAGACTCAAAGGTCCCCCAAAAGATGGGCACCCAGGTCCCCTTGACTTCTGAGGAGCAAGGGATGAGTGGAAATGGAGGTGTCCTGCATCAATCAGGTTTTACCCCACAACCAATAGGGCCCTGCATCACAGACCCCTCAAAGACCTGGGCAAGAGAAACCAATGTCCAAGTCACAATGTTCCTGCTGCCAAACCCACCAGGGACAGCTCACACCTCTTCCTAAATCAGCCTGGACACAGCAGTCAGGGCCACAGTGCTAAGAAGCCTGGCTGAGAGGGTGTGTGCTCTACCCTTCTTCACTTTATATATATGGATTCCAGGCTACAGCTAAAAACATTTCTTTTAGTTTACACCAAAGAGAAATATAACCCTTTAAAAGCAAGTCTGTGTCTCCTCATGGTGAGTTCAGAGCAATGGTCCCTGCCTGCGGGTGGAGAGGAAGGAGTTCTGAGGGTCCAGACTGGGCTTACTGGTTCTCGTCCCGCATCTGTTCCATGATGCTGATGAGGTTTTCGAGGCCAAATACATAGCCTCTGTCTGGCCCGTCATGCACAGTGGGATCATCCCGAAAACCCTTGAACGTGCTGTGTGCAAAGTCAATCATGCGGACATCCACTTTGGGTAGAGAGGAGGATCCCGCCTCAGGGCTGGTGCTGCTGGGGCTGCTACTGGGGCCACAGGGTGATGCCACCTCAGGGAGCCCTGTGTCCAGGTGCTTGAAACGCATCTCAGACCGGCGGTCCAGGTAGGACTCGGGCCGGCACTCCTTGCCATCATAAATGACAAGCAGGGAACTGGAGTAGAAGCGGTAGGAGGCCTGCCGCTCCAGCACGGCTTTTAGGCCCCGCAGTTTACCCAGGATGGGCTCAAAAAGGTCACGCCGCAGGTCCAGACCATTATGCAGGTACTGATAAAGGGCGTTGCGGAAGCCTTCGATGGAGAGCCCACGGCCATAGTACTTGTTCCTGCAGAGGTAATGCCCTGTGTCCAGCTGGTACACCTGAAACCCCGGAAACAGACAGTGAGTACCAGAGAGAGCTGCTACCTCACAGTGCCCTGGGCAAGCACTGTCGGGAAAGCACTTTGGACCAACCTGAGCCTTTCTGCCCACCCCTGTACAACTGCATTGGGCAGGCGAGGTTCACCTGTTTTCCCGCCATAAAGCCAGGAGAGTGTGGAGGCCAGGCTTTACAGGTTCTCTGCCATCACCTCTGGACCCCTCCTTCAAGCTGCCCTGGGACCCAGCTGAACTCAAACTAGGCACAGCTTGCTGACAGACAAGAGTCTTACTTGCCCCATTGTCAAAGCAACAGGCTCCCACAGTGGCTCTGCGCCTAGAGACCAGATCAGGGTCAACAGGTAAAAACAGGAGGGTTGCAGGAACATACCTACAAGACACATTCAGCACCCTGTGGGGAACTCACCCTCTTGGAGGAGACTCTGGACCAACGCGGGCCAGGAGGACACCTGGCATGGGTCGCAGACAGGTACATGTGCACCCCAAGTAAGCAAGCAGCAGCGCCGCAGCGCTCACCAAGGTAACTCACCTGCATGCCACAGACCCTGACACCCAGTGTAGCGGACGTACTCTGCTCACACTTCCTCATCTGTCGGGCCGCCTTCTCCGCTGATGCATCATCACCGTGCTGCCGGGTGCCCATCTTCAGGTCCAGCACACAGGGGTACTTAAAGTGGTGCACTACGTTCTCGAGCAGGAGGAACTCTGGGCCATGGTCAAGGAGAATGGGTGCTGCAGTGCCCATCAACCCCAGCAAAGAAAGCACCACCTTTTTGTCTATAAAAGGGGGTGCCCTCTTTGAGTGGACTCCATGTTCACACACTTTTAAGTGGATTTCACCCCAGAGTTTTTTTTTTATCATGGTAAAATATATACAATGTAAAATTTTCATTTTAACCATTTTTATGCCTGTTCACATGAATTATACATTATTATGCAAGCATCACCACCATCCACCTCTAAAGTTTCTTCATCTTCCCAAACAGAAACTAAAAATTATACCCATTAAAGAACAGCTCTCTCATTCCTCTTCTCTAGAACCTAGTAACCAATATTCTGCTTCCCATCTCTATGAATATTCTATTCTAGGCATTCCAGGTATGGTTCATGTCAGTGGAATTATGTAACATTTGTCCTTTGTGTCTGATTATATCACTGATTATTTTTATTTGTTTATTTATTTATGCATACGAGAACTGGTATCCAGGCCAGAGGTGTGGGGGTAGGGGTATCGGGGGGGTGTGAGAGGATTCATCAGAGACAGAGTGGAGAACAGAACAGGCATCTCCACTGAAATCCACTGCTGAGGGAGCAGCAGGTGAGACAGGAGAGGTCTGCTGCACCATGTTGGTCATCTCCCTGGCTGGGGATCGAACTCGTGCTGTAGTAGCTGCTGACAACTTGATAGTGCTAATATTTTAATCTCTGCACCACCAGGGAGACCCAGCAAAGTGTTTTTAAGTTCATCCATATCATGACATGTAAGTTTTATTCCTTTTTATGGTTGAATAATTGTCCATTGTATATATGTATCACATCTGAAGTCGTTATTTTTATTTTATGTTTTAGATCTGTCTTGCAGGAATACACAGGCATAAAGATTTGGCAAATTCACATTATCCCTAGCAGTAACAGTAAACAAACACCCTATTCAAGCTAGTGCCTCCCTCAGGGTTAAGCGATAAGAAAGATATCTTTATAGCATTACTACAAAAATGAAAACAGATTCAACATTCCCAAAAAGGAATCTTTAGGGGAAAAAATTTAAATTTCTATCTTGCCATTTTCTGACTAAATTTCAAACAGTGGCTACATATTTAAACATCTCTTAACACTACTAGAAGTAGCACCTTAAAATGGCTCTGTGGTCCTGGTCTCCTGGTGTTGAAATCCGTGCCATCAACAAATCTAACAACCATAGCAATCTTACTTTATAGAAGTCTAGGCTTGTCGTGTGTTTGCCAAATGTCACTAGTGCTCATAGCCTGGACCTCAGTTTCACACTTGGGGACTATGAAGCAATACTTAAGAGTACTGATGATAAGACACTTGGCATCATTCTGATGAACATTCCTATAAACAAATGACAACAAAACTTAAAGAAGCCTGCAGAAATACTGCACAGTGACTAAGAGCATCAGTTCGTAATTCCTGCTTTGGCCATTCACTGGTTCTGGGCACAACACTTAACTACTCTGTGCCCCATTTTCTCATCTATAATTAGAATAATAATTCCCCCCACAAAAAAGATATGAAAACTGAGCAAATGCCTATGGAAGCACTAAAGACATTTCCCCTCAGTTTTTCAGTGTTAGTTTCAAAATACCAAGCAATTGTAAGAATTCCCATTTCTTAACATTTGAATATCCTAAAACTATTTTACACTTTATAGTTGTGGTGTTTAGCTTTAGACCAAAAGAAGCTGAAAATCAAAAATATTTTTTTTTATCTCCTGAGAAGAGGGGAAAATGCAATGTATGTACATGAACAATACAGATCCCCAATTCTAGACACACAATGATAAATATGGTAGCCACCAGCCACAGTGACTATTTAAATTATTTAAAATAAATTTAAAATTCAGTAGCTCTTGTCCTAACAGCCACTTTTCAATTATTTGTTGTGGCTAAATAGCTGCCATACCAAGCACAGAACAGAAATACATCCACTGTCACAAAGTTCTGTTTGGATAATACTGTTCTAGCCTGCCAAGTTTAAGCAGTCTTCCCAGCTCCCAAAGGCAGAAAAGACGTGTTGATGAAAATACGCAGAGAAGGGCCCTCCCTGGTGGCACGGCGGGTTAAAGCACAGCACTGAGAATCTTAAGCTGCTTCCGCATGAGTTCGATCCCCGCCTGCCCTGGAGGAGACCACATGGCGTGGCAGACCTCTCCTGACCCACCCACTGCTCCCCTCAGCAGTGGACTTCGTCGATCTGCCTGTTCTGCTCCCCACTCTGTCTCTGGTGAATCCTCTCACCCACCGCATCTCTGGTGTGTACCCCAGTTCTGTATGAATAAATAAATCTTAAAAAAAAAAAAAAAAAAGACGCAGAGGAAGAAGAGTCAGAAGGAGAGAGATAGGAACAAAAGAGGGACAAGAGGGGCTCCTAACAGAGAGCATGCCACAGGCCCCGGCAGCAGCAGCGGAAGCAGGCAGAGCGGAACAGCAGTAAGGATACTGTAGAGCTTCCGGTCCTTGGACTCGGAGCGCATGCGGCTCAGCTGCTGTTTGTGACAGCGGAGGCTCCAGGGGTTGTGGCTGATCTTCTCGGAACTCAGACCGCTATTGCCATCTAGCATCTGGAAAGGGACATCAGAGTGGCTGTGTAGTTCCACCTTTGGACTCTTCACCTCCTGGGAGCTAAAAAGGAAGACCACACACGGCAGCAGCTCAGACAAGTACAAAAATACCATAACTTTACCATAACTTCACTTTCCCCTCAACATGAAAATCTTGGTTTGAAGCAACTTCAATGCTGCTTATCATACTGCCAAGCAAAGAAAACCATAGCACTGGTGCAGACAAGTGCTTTGGAACCGCTAGGGCAAGTTTGCAGCCCAGAACAGCTTCCTCCTCTTCAGAACCGCTGGCCTTTCTTCTAACTGGGGAGTGCATCATACAGAGCAGAGCGAACCACCAGGTCTACTGTGTGCTGGTGGCTGGTAGGCTGTGAAATACTGGCACTGGCCAAGATCTCACTTCCCTTTACCTAGAAGAAGTTAATGCCTCTTGGTATGACAAAACACTCATTTTCTTCTCATGCAGGTATTGCTGAGGCTATTCATGGAGAGTATTTATGATCTTTAGGAAACAGCAAGACTGACCTATTTGCCAAGCAAATGGGCAAGTTGCCAGTGGCACTTGATAACTCTTGCTGTTGCAGCCCTGGCCCTGGTAAAGAAACAAACTTTATTCCTGGAAGTGACTTTGACACTCCGCTAACAGACCAGAAAGTCTGATCACTGCAGATACAGCTGTCATCTTTAGAGCAGGGCCCTGAACAGTTTTGTGTGTGAATGTATTTTTTCAATTCTCTTTGCAGAACTGCTGGCCTTAACCTTTTTTTAAGAAATAATATAATGGTTTTTTTTACATCATTTTATGCATTTTTCCATCTCAGTTGTAATCCTCGTGGGTTTCCCATCACCAAATCACCCATGTGCCATCACCATATGGACTTAACTTTTTAAAGAACTGCCCAAATTTTTTTTCAAAATGGCTATACTATTTTACATTCCCATCAACAATGGATGTAGAGTTCTCTACATCTACACGGTTCTTATTTTATGTTCATCAGATGATTCATGAAGCAACTTATGTACCTCTGGAGAAAGCCTAATCTAAAGAGTTCTTGTGAGGGAGGCATCAAATGCCAGCTAGGTACTTAGGGCCTTGGGATTATTCTTCTCATTCGCATAACCAAACATAGGTCCCACAATCTTACCAATGAAGAGGAAATCCCCTGGAAAATGAAGGGGAAGTCCTAGAAGAAGTGTGTCTGCAGGCTGGGGCCTATTATCCACAGAATATTCAAGAGGAGGAGACCCTGCCTACTAAAGAAATGGACTTCATGTCCCTCTCCTGGCATCAGAGATGCAAACCGAGCCAAAGAGGACCTGACCAAGGACATGGGAAATGACACATCATGCATTCAGCCAAAGCTGGTAGGATCCTGTACAACTCTGTGCCAGAGAAGTGCATCCATCAGAGTGAGTGAGGAGAGCTGGACCGCCTTGGCCCTTACAGAGCTCTGGGGCTAGACACACAGCATGCCGGACTGACCTAATATCAGGGAAACCATCTGAGAATAAGAAAGGTCCCAATTTAAACCTCTAAGTCACAGAGCATCCTATTTATTGAAGCTTACTCTTGAGTAAACAGTCAATATGAAGTAATTTAATGATATAGCTACCCCCAAAACAAACCCCATCACCATTACAGCCACTTCCCACCCTCCTCTCCTGCTTAGCCCCTGTCTATCTCTAAGGATTTGCCTACTCTGAATATTAATATAAATGGGACCATACAATAAATATGTGGGTCTATGATAGGTATCTTTCACTCAGCATGTTTTCAAGGTTGATCCATGTGGCAGTACGTATCAGTATTTCATTCCTCTTTTATAGCTAAGTAATACTGTGCTGTATTAGTATGCCATATTGTGTTTATCCATTCATCAGCTGATGGACACTTGAGTTATTTCCACATTTTGGCTCTTAGGAATAATACTGCTATAAATGTCTGTACAGTTTTCTGTATGAATATACTTTTTCGATTCTTTTTACAGAACTGCTGGATTTAACTTTTCAAAGAGCCGTTTTTTTTTTTTTCCAAAATGGCTGTACTATTTTACATTCCCATCAGCAACAGATATAGAGTTCTCTACATCTTTATCAACATTTTAAAGTCTATCCTTTTCATTATAACCACCAAGGAGTTTACATTGTTTTGCATGAAATATCAAGAAACATAACTGTAAAAGAATTTATCTAATCTATAGAAAAAACAATTTCCAGTACAATAAATTAAATTTTAGATACAGGAAAATGTTAATCGCTGATATTAGCGTCTTAGAGAAGACTAACATCCAAAACCCTAAAACACATGAATCTGGATGGGTTCTTACATCCCGCAGGTCAGAAAGCAGTCTTAACTGTGGCCAGTGCAATTCAACCTTCTGTTTTAGGGTGTACAAGTCATAAGAAAGCTGGAAAACACAGGACAAAGGGTGCCCTTGCTTCCCAAGTCTTCCCTCTCTCTTGAATTGATACAGCTACTCTCAGGAGGCGTCACTGGGGTGATGTGACACGAAACAGACAGGCCACAGCTATGTGGGTGGCCAAAACGCCATCATCTCGCAACCTTGAAGCCTAGTTTTTTATATGTCAGATCTTGCATGTACGGACAGGACCAGACATACACCTTCAGCCCTGCTCATCACTCCCTTACCTTTCAGAGGTCTCAAGGGTCAAGCTGACTCTCTCTTCTTTATGGTCACTGCCACTGCTTGACCGGTGCAGGCTGCGGCGGGAGTGTTTGCGTCGAGGCTGCTCCCGATCTGGTGTGTCATCCTGGTCCACCGTCTCACTTTCCACATAAGGGTAAGCCACCAAATTGATATAACCATCACTGTCCCCCTCAAAACACACAGACACCACACCTATTAAAAAAAAAAAAAGAAGAAGGCAGGTAATTAATAAATGTCATCGCAGGTTGTGTCCATGGAGCACGCTGCTAGTGGTCACTATCCACCCCCAACAGGCCATCACCTGGCTGAACCAACTATAATCAATGCAGGAACAAGGACCGGTAAATACCAACTTTCCAGAAGGTAGATGATTTGCTATTTACCTTTGGTCTTGGATAAATCTGTATTTTTACTCTTAATTTAGCCCTCTCTACAAATTAAGTCTACTGACAGTATTTACAGTATTTCACATGTGTGGAATCTTTTATGTCTGGTGTATTTCATGTAGCATGTTTCCAAGGTTTATCTATGTTGTAGCATATATCAGACCTTCATTTTTTTTTTATTAAAAAGTTTATTTTTACATCATTTTGCACATTTTTTTTTTCATCTCAATTGTAATCCCCACGGGTTTCCCATCACCAAATCACCC